TTCGCCTCCAGTCCTCAGTCATCTTCAAGAGTGCGGTGCAACAAGAGTGTTTCTTCAAGAACCCAGATAGATTCGGAGAAAGATGTTCATGGAAAGCGCCGTACAGCTGGTCAAACATAACCTTCTCGTACACTTTAGAAATGGCGGTAAGAATGGAAACAGGACGATAATTTTCTTTGCGTGTATCCTCATCTTTTTTAAATACCGGTGTCAAGTTCCCACTCTTCCATTCGGTTGGCCATGATTGGTTCATAATCAGATAGTTGATCAGCTGTGTTATCTCCTCCGTTAGGATGGGAGCAGCGAGCCTTAAGAGACGCGGTGAAATTCCATCTACGCCAACAGCCTTCCGGGGATTTAGATTGTCTAGGATTTGACGAACACAGCCGCAGCTCACAGGCTGGAAGACAAACTGATCTAGCAGCATTTTGCTAGCGATTAGATTTACACTTGGATGATCGTTGAAGTCATTTTAAAATAATTGAGAAGAATATGCTACCTTTCTATAACATCAAGAAATGGTTAGATATCCTAGTCTTCTCGGATAGGGACGAATAAATGGAGGGCCCGTCTCCTGTAGGGTTAGGGGCAGGAGACGTTAATTTCTCACGCACGAGATTACTGTGTGATGGATGTCCTCCCCTGGGGTGGGATGGGTGGTTAACAGGACCCCCGTTGATACCAGTGTTTACTACACTAAAGGGGCTATCCGGTATAAATAGAGATGTCTATTCTACTCTACTCTACTCTACTCTACACGTTAAACAACGTAACGGGCACTGGGCTCCTGAGCGGCGCGCCCAATGGCATGACTAATTAAATTCTTTATTTCTACGTTTTTTGTGTAAAATGGCGCACAGTTCAAGTGAGCACAGAGGCACGCCAGCGATTGAAATAGTACACAGTTTAAGCGAGCAACATAACGCTGAACTGTTTCAAAGAGCACACTCACTGTGTGCGCATATATATGAAACATTTTGCTAAAATATTGTCGCCATAATGATACACGTTTATATGGACGAGGACGAAAAATTAAAATGACAATCGAAAATCAAACTCGGTTATAAGTCAGCGCAGTCTTGCATATCATCTCAAGAAGAATAGGCGTTTAACTTCGAATACGTTGTTCTCTTCATTCACATTTTCATCGCTGCAGAAGTCAGAAGGCCATTATCTTCTTCACCATCCTACACCAAGCCCAGATTTAAAAGTCTTATTTAGTCGATTCCAAATCTTGTCCTTTGAAGATAATGTCAAGATATTCCCGACTTTGAAAGTCCCCGTTTATGGTCAAATATAGATAGAACCTGTAGAGCCCTGTTGGTCATGACATTGACTTTGTTATGGAGAGCCCACATATTTTTCTAGAGAGCGTGGCGTTACGTAGTTACCAAAAATAGAGTGAAGAAGTTTATAGAACGCTGAGTCATGCTGACTAAGCGAGAACTTTTAATAGACTTTTCTAGAACTGTTAGTCAGCATATTTTCATTATCACGTAATAGAGTGTCATGTCAGTAAAAATAGCAGTATTACAGATCTCTAAAGCATTCTAGAACTTTTGTGAAAGGTATATAAAGACTCGCGATCAGTTAAAAGTTAGGCCTTTTTAGTGAGTTAGAGTTGCTGTTGTGAAGAGCCCAGGAGAGCGAGAGCCGGATAGAGTTGTTGGAATTATTTACTGGAATTGTAAGTCGTGTGGAAGGCTACATTTGAGAAAGTATTGTGGATGTCGACAAGTTTTAAGAGTTTTTCAAGAGAACTGTGAGTTGTGCGGTAGTACACTGAGATTGAAGTTACAATATTTATAGAGGGCTCTAAGTTACGAGGATAGTTATTGTATTGGTATTAACATCGCTCCGTAGCTAAGTGAAGAGGATAGTTATTGTACTA